GAGCGTCAGCGCCTGGCTTTTAAGGTGGGCTGGGAATGGGAAACAGGTGCAGAGAATGAAGTCTTAAGTGAAAGGGCTGGAGCACCCTTAAGGATGGGGAACTAATATCGTGACAGATATGTTTTGCTGGTTAACACACTCTCATACCAATCATGTCTCTTCAGGTTATTTGTACTTCATATGGTTTCCATGTGGTCTCAGACCATCAGTACACACATTTATCTAAACTTTGCAATTTCAATCCGCAATGCTTAACAACTGTTGGAATGAAACAAACGTATTTGCACAAGGAAATACATGTTTTCCAAAGTCAGGGGGCTGTACTTTTCATTTTAAGGTACAGTCCATATTTGGCGATTCACCTGGTTGTCCATGAACAACGTGGTTTTCCTTCAGGATAGCAATATGAAAAGGGATGGATAGATTTAGTGGAGACTGCACAGTGGCATGACAGTTAGCACTTCTGTCCAACAGCTCTCTCCTGGATTCCATTTTCACATGGGGAACCATCTGTGTGAGGTTTTCCTGCCTGTTTCACTCATGTTTGTCTAGTTTTGTTCCTGGTGCTCAGGGTCCTTCCCACCTTCTAAAGACATACTGGCTAGCTTAACTGGTATCTCTAAATTGCCCCAGTGTGGGCACGTCTGTCTTGCAAAGGACTAGTCTCATGCAGAGTATAGTCCTGCCTTGTGCTCAGTGTTTGCCAGCATATAGGCTTCAGCTCAGGCAGAAGAGAGGCTTGAAGGACATGCATTTAGGGAGAGGTAAAAATCTAAAATGTACTTAGTGTGCAGTATGTGCAACACCCTGGGGCTTATTACCATCCCACAACACTTTGTTTCACATTCTAAAAAAATAACATTCATGTAAGGAAACATTTCATAATTGTCTTTAATTTCAATGATTATAAAATACTCCCAGCAAAAATATTCTCAGTTTAAAAATCTGTACAATTCGGTATTGTTCAAAAAATAACAATAATGACTTAATATCTCTGCAATGTTTACTCTGTCTGCATTTTAGTGGCACGATTCCAGAGATAATTTGAAAACCAATGGTAATCTCTCACATCTGTCTCTGTTAGGAATATACTCTTCCAGATGAGGCTTAAGGCTCAGACTGTGTTACCGATAACATTTTCAGTCATTGTGAATAATTACATTCCAGTGGGTTTGTATAACATTAGTCCATTGAAATATGGCGATGTCAGCACTGTGCTCTTGAACATGAGGAATATAAACACAGCAGGATAAAGCTGTCAACAAGGACAATGCCATAGAAACACCTCTTAGTGTGCAGACCTTGCGTTTTTTGAAATCGAGTCAGCAGTAAAGCCAACAAGAAGAAAAAAGTAGCAATATTTAAAATGAGGAACAGTCTTATATAGGATGCAGAGATTAAAGGGTCAGTACTTCTGTCAGTAGAAACCATAGGAAGTTCCTTGTATTTCCGTTGTTTAAAAATGCCACTTTTCCTGCCTTTGGGAAGCCGAAGGTCGCTGTAGTCCAGAAAGGCCCTGGCATCCCCATCTGCTTCCTCAATGTCTTCATCATACACGCGCTTCATGGCCTTTTGCCGTTCCTTCTTTTCATTGACCTCAATCTGAGCAAAAATATCTGGGAGTCCATCTGAAAGCTTGTCAGCGAGAGCTCCTTTCTTGGAGTTTTTGTTCCTGTTTTGCTTCTTTTTGAGGGTGAACATTTTCTCGATGATTTCCTCCGTCTTCTTCTGGTCTGAGAAATCTAGGAGGCGCTCGGCCGTCTTCCTGAAGTTATCAGTGTTGAGCACGCGAGCCAGGATCTGTTTCTGCAGCTGCTGGAAGACGGGCTTAGCATGCTGGAGATTGTCCTCCACGAAGTTTGCGTAGTTGTTGACCTCAGCCGGCGAGCTCTCCTTGACCCCTGAGGCTTTCTCAAAGACAACCTTCTCGTGGTCAGCCAGCACCATGGCAAAAAGAGGTTTGCTTGTGACTTCCCCCGTGAGGAGGTAGACTGTATACGTGTGTTCACTAGTGGCCAAGTAAATATCTACTCTCTGGGCATCACTACGGATACTGAAACTCTGGACATCCATATCAGGACCAAAGAAAATGAATACTCCCCTGGAATTTGGGTTCCTCAGTGGGAGAGTCACATTCACATAGTTAGACCCATTATAAGGATACCCACGAGGATAGTTTCTGTATCCTAGAACCCCTTTATCACTGTATCCCGTATCATCCATCCAGAACATTTTATATAATCCATCTCTGTGTCTAATAAATGCTCCATGTACACCATCTTTCACAGTCTCCTCAAAAGGCAAGTCAGTATTATGGAAATAGCTACTCATTAGCCCTACTGGGCTGTCGCTCTCCAAATGAACGTGGTCTACCAAGAGTAAGAGCTGAGGTTGCAGAAGGAGCAAGTTCCTTTGGAAGCTCTTTATCTTCAGGCCAGGACTGTAGGCACCCTTTCCCTCCCCTCGAATGAATACCATCCCGTTCCTTTCCAGAGCTGCCACTACCTTGCCCTGGCAGTCTGCAGCTGCCCCTTGTTTATATTTCAGCCACTTGGACGTACAGGCTTCTGTTACCTGCCCTTCCCAAGGGGCAAAGCAGCTGTCAGAAGCCGCAGGGGAGAACATAACGACGTTGTTCAGGAAAGTGTACTTTGGTCCGTATAGTGCTTCCGTAATGAAAGGTACACCGTTGGGTGCGAATGTAAAGGAGTTTTGGTCAGGATGCTCATGGCCAGCATTGAAGTTTCTCCACCCTTTTATCCAATCTTTGTACTTATTCCTGTGCACGATGTCAAATATGGCACGGCCTCCCAGTTTTCCCGATTTGAAGGAGAGGAATGTTCTGTTGATCCCTGCTGGTAATGCACTACCGTAGGTGACCACTCCCCAGTCCTCAAAATAATGCAGTCTGGGTTTCCCAAAGTCTGCAGGAGCTGTAGAGGTCAGATTTGGATTATACCTGCATGATCAAAAGGGAAAACATGGGAGGACTTAAGACTTTTTAATAGAGAAACAACACATAAGACAACATACAGTACATAGATTTTTTTTTCCCCAAAGGAAAAACAATAAAAAAATATTTTGGGATTAATATTACATGTGCAACCGTTTAAATTGACATTTTTTTTATTAATCAAAATTTGGGGAAAAAAAGCTGCATAAAATAACTGAAGAAGGAATTGTTCATGGAAAATACAATGACTTATTAAAGGACCAATGAAATCCTGTTCACTGAGTGAGATGCTGGGATTGAATTCCCTTTGGCATGTTCAGCAATAAAGAAAATCTATAACCAAAAAATACTGCTCAGATCCCTTTACTCTTTACACGATTATACTTGTATTCACAGGCATGCCTTTTGCGATAAAAAGCTGAGGAAAATCTATCAACGACTCCATTAAACTCTAAAAACAAATTAAGGACTTTGAGCAAACAATTGCAAAATTTGTGTCATAAAAATTACACTTAATTCAGCTAAGCTTCCTCACAGAAAAAAAAAACACAAAAAGTAACTGGCGTTCAAAATTACTGTAATTTTTTTTTTACATTTTAGGACTTCCATTTCTATTCCAATTTTATGGATTTGATACACATGTAATTTTACAGTCTACTGAATGACAATGTATTTCTGCTTTCAATGTTACACTTAATTTGAAATGTATAACACACAACAAATGTGCTTCTTCACTGCCTGCCTGTTGGAGAAGTGACTGAGAGCTTCTGTCCCAGCTGTAGTGGAAGCTCACCAGATGAATTCTGTGTGAAGAGTGCACCACCTCTGTCCCTTCCCTGCCTGCCCGGGCCCGTCCACAACCCTGTTCTTACGGATCATCTCTGCAAGCCAGTTGCCACTGCCATTGCGCATGACATAGCTGTCCAGGAAAACCAGCTGGCTCTCTGGGCCATAGAACCAGTTGTAGTTGGAGTCTGCAATAGCCACACTTCTTTGAAACCCTGGTGAGACAGAAAAGATAAGAAACAAATGACACTGATTTTTAATAATACAGGTACTGTAATGTCCCTCAGTAAGGTGGATCAGTCAATACAGTCAATTGCAACATACTGTATTTTAAATCAATTGTATATAACTAATATAAATACAGCTAAATGTTAAATATTACAAGCAAAAATGCACATTAAGAGATGTTAGTGCTGGCTTACACACTCTAAAGCTTCACACTGCTACTGTATGTTTGCTATGATGGGGTATCAATTTCTGTTTTCATCTCAGAGTGCTTCCATTGATATTCATTGGAAGCATTTGCTCAGGCAGATTTTAGCTCCACACTTGCCTTTGTCCCGTCCTTGAGGAATTCACAATGGCCAGACTCTAGATGGCCAGGCAATTGACTAAACCCATTTCTGACAGATGATTAAATCAGCCTTCTTGGGAAAGGTATGAAAAATAAAAATATAATTGTATTAATAAAACTTATTTATAACATTGTATAATTGTAACCTTTATTATATTCAGTTTTTAAATAGTTTTTAATCCCCACACTGAGTGCACTGAGATTAGCTAAAAATAAAAGCATTGGTCACTCTCCCTCAAGAATAGTTTAATGGTAAATTAATACAATCTTTGCAATCTCAACTAGCAATTTCTTCTGAACTAAACCCAGTTGGACGTTTCTTAGAACTCATTCTATCCTTGTTATATTAAATCCTGCTTAATTCTTACCATGTGGGACTTTTACGTTCATGGTGTTCTGTTCTTTGTGGCTCTGTGTTCTTTTTCTCCCTAAATATTGCTCATGGACCAGAAGTGAAGCATAAGAAATACTTTTTCCAAAACCATTCCAGGATCACAGTGGCTAGGATTGCACAATTATAAACAGCAGTTCCAGTGGGTTGTTCCAATACATCACACCACAGTATTTGTACAGAAAAAACATGCAAATGTGAGGGCCAAAAGGAACAACATTCAAAATATTATGTCCATGGCATGAAGTGTCAAGCCCTTTCTCTAAACATCAAGCATGCGCGTTGTTATTTCTTTCTTGGAACCTGTCCAATAGTGAGGTAAGGTTGCTTCTCTTCAGCCTTCCCTTAGAGATTTATCAGAAGGTCATTTGGAGGTTAGCCACAAGCAGGCCATGGGGTCAGTTCTTGGTGTTTAACAGCCTGCTTTTAACAGTCAGTATATTGTGGCAAAGCAGCAGACACATTCTGAGTCTGCACTTCTAATTACAGTAAAAGCTGTGTTTCCTAAGTCACAATACCAGCTTTCTGTAGCTCACAAACATTAGGACCAAATTGTCACGTACAGGTCTGTAGGATCAACAGAGGAGAACGTTATTATGATTATTTTTTTCTCGATTTAGAATCTGTTTTGCTCAGTATTGAGAGGGTGAAACTATGGACTTTAAATGTGATCTCCTTTCACTACATTTTGTGGCAAAACAATTACTACAATATAATAATAATAACATTATTGCTGTGATGTTCAAGCATATCACACATTTATTTTTTAAAACCATCCACATGTAGATTCTATTTTGTCAACTCTGTCACTGGTGTAGTGGTTATTTGAAACCTTCTGTACATACAGTTTTTATTCTGATGTCTGTGTAAACCAGCTCTAACAGGGATATAATTCTCTTTATAAATGTATTGTACCCTACATAAGCAATTGATATTAATGGGGGGAAATTTAAGAGCTGAGTTTTTAAATGTACAGTATAAGCATGTTTTTATCAATATTGTTTCTGGAAGATTAAGGTCTTATAAAATGTATCATATAACCTATAACTGTTATTAATTTTATTCTGTTAGAAAACCATGACATATTTTAGCTTGAAAGATCTGCATATGGCTTAGCTGTGCCAGACTTTTACATTTTATTTTACTCTTTTGGTACTTTGAGCACTCTTTGGTTAAATCCTGTCACTCCTGTAACTTGGCATCCATTTGGGCAAGAGTCTGATCTTCCAATTACATCTGGATCCATGGTTACAGGCAGTACTTTACTATAACTTGGCATTTAGTAGAAAGATTCACAAGACAAGACATGGCATGCTGACTCCTGTTTTCCATAATCATAAACCATAATCATAATTCATATTCAAGATGAAATATTTAATATGGATGGTCTTCGCTCTTTTCAAGACTTGCAGTCTGAGAAAGAGTCGCATGGTTCCACTTTCATTTTTAATGGATGTCTCTGTTCTGCAGTGCATGACTTGAATCCAGAATAGTTAGTAAACTAGATTTTAAATTATACTAAATTATGATAATCAAACACCGTAGAAGCTGCAGAAACAATTAGAAATGATTAATATAAAATTCTTGACTGGGCAAACACCCAATGAATGACATTTATTGAAGACAAGTTCAGGGCATTGAATCCAGGTACTAAAATATTAATTATAAATACAAAATGGGAACTCCTGAGCTTGAAAAGGTGACTTACTGTATGAAAGACTTAGGTGTTTATATTGACAAGCCATTTACATCTTCTAGAAATGAGCAAAATCAATTCAAAGGAAAACAAAGTGTTAGGATATATAGTTAACGGTAGAATTGAAATCGAGTGATGTTATCTTCAAATTGTATAATGTCCTAGGTAGACCTAATTTAGGATACTATTGACAACTTCGATCACGACATTATTGAAAAGATATTGCTGCTCTGGGATCCATGCAGAGAACAGAAACTAGAAGCTGTTCTGGACTTAAGGTAACGTCCTACACTAACAGGCTGAAGGTATTGAGACCTTTTTTTCTGAACAGCTAAGACTACGAGGGGACCTGACAAAAGTAGTCAAAATTCTCAAGGGCACTGACAAAGGCCACCCAAAGGACTTCCTCAGAACAAACAGTGAAATATGAACCAGATGTCAGAAAACAACACTATGTAGAAGTCCAATTAATACCAAGAACAGGAGGCACTTCTTTTCTCAAAGGATATGGAAACAGTTCCCCATCCATGTTGAGGGAAACCAGGATTCTTGCAAGTATGTTTTGCACGACTTGTTTCTTCGTCTTTGTCCAATTGTCTAAACAAATATAATCCTACAAACATATTAAATGTTACTTACACTCTTGACATCTCACAGCGCAGAAACAAACAGATCT